TCCTCAGCTGATAGCTCTGGCGATGATGTCAGTATAGCACTCATTATGCCGTTCCAGTCCTCCAACATATAAATGTCGTAACAGAGCAAACGTTTTCCCTACGGATATTCCAGATTCTCTTGTGAAATAATAATGTTAACAAACGTGCACTCATTGGTACATTCCAATCCAATCACACGTATGCACTCAAAGTGGGGTTCAACTAACATTTAAGGTTACTGTGTCCAGTTCTTTTTCCTCCATGACTGCGTCGATAGAAATAATTTGTGGGGAAGGGAAAATTCATAGAAAGTCATTATAAGACGAAAAAATAACATTATCTTTTCATCTTAAGTAATTTATCATTTTTGACCAAACTCCGGGTTGATGAGCCCAACTCAATCAACTCATCTAGCATAACTCTTTTTCACCAAACGCTCTGCAGTAAAGCGTCGAGAATAGAACGCAGTAAACTACCAAGTTGAGGAGCTTCGATTATTTTTTGCATTAGTTAGCCTTTTCTCTTTTTGCCGTATGTGCGATGGAAAGGGCAAACAGTCAGGTCGTCGTTCATCGTGCAGCATTCCACGAATTCAATTCTTTCGTTTATGCCTATCGCATTCATTAAATGAAAGCTCTGACTTATCCAAGATTTTTTTGACACGTGGGTCACCAGATATGTTAGGATTAGCAAAAGGACTGAGGTATGCGCGTTGCATTCTCATAGCACATGTCTGCTTCGTGTTTTATTCAACTAACTTCCTTCATCGATACCTCTTTGAACTGCTCGAAAACTCTGATGTTATGAAGTTTTTTCTCAATGACTGCGAAAAGAAAACGAGCTGATGTGGCTAATCCAGAAATTCAAGCGAGATTAGCTCGACCAATATTCAGTGACATCATTATGAAAGAGCAAAACTCTTCAATGAGAGGCCAAAATTACACGCGGTTTTGAACACCTTTTTGGATGGCAGAAAAGAGGAAACAGATAGAACTGAACAAATGTCCACAGCGCGTAACATCTGATATCGAGTTATATGAAAAAAAAATTTTTTTGTTTCAGATTAACAAAACAGCTATGTAAGAGGAAGGTGGATCTAGAGGATGAGAAGAATCAACGAGTAGGTCAGGAAATAAACAACCTAACCGCAATCCATCCCCTTATTGACTAAACCTCTACGGTATTCCAGGTGAAATTTCGGGAAGCTTTTCCTAGGGTGGAGATGACATTCTCCACAAATATCGAATATTTCCTTTCACTTGATGCACTTTTGCAAACTACTTTTTAACAGTCATCCTGTTGTTTCACAGCTCGCTGGAAAGGGGTCTATATTTTTCTCCTAGCACCTGCACACTTGAAGAAGCAACGATTGTGAGAAACTCTGTCGGCCGCTCGTATGCTAACATCTGCACTCGTACAAAAAATTAACTCGAAAAGAGTTGTGCTTGCTCGACTAGGATCTAGTATCTTTTCGGTATCGAGAATCCTCTATTAGCCAGCTGTTTTCACTTCTTCTTGCGCTACCGCTTGTTCCTTGCTCTTCTTGGTGTTCAGTGTGATACTTGCTCGTTATTCTACTTCACCGTTTTATTACCGAAGCTACCCTTCAACTGCTATTCTTTATGCAACTTCTAAATCATAATTTTATCTTCGTTTGCAGATTTTGTTTTCGCCTTACCTTCTATACTATTTATATTTCTCAACCCAAATTTCATGACATTGCCATATCTTCACTGCTGTATTGATATTGTTGCACATAAACGTCTAATTATCCAAAACTGAGGTACACGCTGTAAAGCTAAGAATCGGAGTACCTACATGGCAAATAACGGGTATGCACAAGAAGACACAGGAGAGCAACGTCTCGTGACATAGCACTTTATTCAAAAGAGAAAACCATTCTCCAGCACATCCTTCAGAACCCGATTTTATAGGTTGATCTGAGGGCTATTGTCTACAGTTCCATTTCAGCGCTCCAAAATTGCAACCTCTATTTCTCTACTTCCGCACACAGCTCCTCAAAAGTTAGAGCATAACAACAAGAGATCCGCTTTGGAAAGTCGAGAAGATCTGCAGTGACAATAAAACGATTAACTAATCGCTACGCTACTCTACATTATCATTTATTTTGTAAACTAACAAATCCACTGCTGAATTGCTATTGTGCATTGGCCACAATACATTTCCGGTTCATTGACATTGCAATATTTCTGTTGGTGGGCCATTATGAAGCCGCCACGAGGTACGGTGCAAAATTTGTGAGGTTGTCTAGCAATTGTACAATTTTTGTAGTTTATTATGAAGTAATAGAAATATTTTATCGAATCAGTTACTTCTTAATGTAGTCAATACCTTTGACCAGTGTCGCTAGACATTGGTCAGTGTGAAACACAAATTTTTTCAGCAATTCTATTTCGGTTTATAAAAAACACTTTCAAGTTTTTTCTGAAGGTTTGCAATCATTCGAAGGCTGCTTTGAAACAAATCGTCAACAGCCAAAAGTTATGGGACTCATCCATGTTAGGAAAACTTCACGGCAAAGACACAACTGAATGAAAACACAGCAACTAGATATCACGGGTATCAATGAAGCCAACGATCCACTTCTAAAATCTACGACACTACCCGCTCTCTCGAAAATTGACCATCATCGTCACCTTTATGGGGTGGCGTTTTGCTAAACAATGGGATGCTAGGTTATGTTGCAAGCACGTATATCTAGGGAAGCCTGGTAAATCCTTCAGTATAAACTGCTAACTCAACAACTATGACGAGATTTACAACTTAACCATTTTTTATTCATTATCTGTTCTTTTTTATGGCAGGGTATGATGCAAAATATAACAGCAATGATTCTGAGATATCTGGGAAACTCTGAACCGCAGATGTCTGCGGTGGGGAACGAACACACTATTACCATTTCCGGGGTTCATTCTAACGTGTTCACCATCGTACCATGCGTGTCCTTCGTTTCGCCTTTCTCTCGGTCCTATTTTAACCTATAGGTGGCATTAGAAATCACCCGCTAACAACAACTTCAGCTTGGCTTGGTTCAATGCCAACCTGTGTTCCCAGATTGATCCTGTTGACGGTGACTGCTGATAGCACCTATAGGCTAAAACTCGGTTGAGAGAAAGGTAAAACGAAGAACCGTCGTGGTATGGTGGTAGACATGTTAGCCCCGAAAAAGGTAGTAAGGGGTTCTATACCAACTGCAGACACCTGCGGTACAGAGTTCTGTAAATATCTCAGCATAATTGTGGTTTTGACAAGATTTTAGTCACTATACTTTTATATGGCGGACTACTACTAACTGGCAATATGGATTCTGTGCCCATTTGCACATTCTGTATATGTGGGTTGAATGTACGGCGTATAACGTAGTGGATAGAAACGCTCTGTAACACTCACGCGGTCGTCAGTTCGATCTCGCGCCTGGGATATATCAAACTCTCCATCCTTTCAGGGTCGACAAATCGATTCCGTACTTATCTAGGAAGATAAAAAGCACTGAATGAACACATCGGTACACACATGCTGGTCGATATTTTGGCTGAAAATGCACTTATTCACCCCTTTGAGCTTGAGGTGGCCAAATACATTTCAAACACCTTAAGGATTAACCAACACCAAGCCCTTTTACGGCATACAACAAATATTTTTTGCCTACCCTTATCAGAACAAAACTTGATAAAAGAGGTGCGTCACACCTCACTAATACCGATGGTGGTTGTACAACCAGAACGATTTAATGGTACTGTTCATTCTTAACCCTTTTATTTACTGTCTTTTACTTTTTTTAATGGCGGGGTATGTTGCGAAATATAACTTGTATATAATGCTGAGATATTTGCAAAACTCCGGACTGCAGGTGTATGCGGTGGGGAACGAACACGCTCTGTTGTCCTTACCGGGGAGCACCGCACTTCACCACCACACCATCCGGGTGCTTCATTTTGCCTGTCTCTTAGCTAGTTCTATCGATCCTTTTGCCATCAGTAATCACCCTGTTTTAGCAGTTTTGACACTGTTTTAGCCCAACAGATCCATCTAATTAATGAATGGTTCTATCCTGAACACACCATAAAAATAGGTAACTCCCTCTAGCCTCTCATTTACATGGCTAAGTATATGTGAAAGTTAGCAAGAATATCTTAAAGCATCCTTTATCCGAAATAATTCCGATGTAATAATCTCTTCCAATCTATGATAAAGCCAAAACATAACAATCATCGTAGTTCACCAGTAGGACCACAGATGAACACCATATAGCTCGCATTACTATTAGATTATTTTAACACGAAAATGTAATGTGTGAAACAAGTGACTTCGGATCGAATAATCTAGCGATAAACATAGTCTTTCACTGTAAAAAGATTCTCTAAAACCAGAACTACTATTGAAAAGCTGAGATTACCAATAATTTACTGTGACCTGGAAGTCATTTACTGAGAAATCGTCTTGCTGTTCATCAAATAAGTAGATATGTCACCTGGGATTGTATCTTTAAGAGAAGATGAACACATTGGGCACGACTCGTTTAGGGAAAGCAATCTGAAATTGAACCGGTTCTTGGATGAAAAGAGGTGTGATTCATATGTTGAAAGAGATGCGATAAAAATGTGCTATTTAGCCATTCGATGGCAAGTGTAGCGCAGTGGTCGGAGGCACCCTGCTACACACACGTGGAATCGATCTCCGAGCTCATGGCCCAGCACGCGTTCAATCCTTCCGAGGTCAGCAAACTGGCACCAGACTTGTCTTGGAGGATAGCAGCACTGTTTTGATACATCGGTAGGCTACTACGAGTCATTGTAAAGGCCAGATAAGCATTTAGTCATCAGTTCAACGATGCTTAATGAAGTCGAATGCGTCGCTCATTCGCTCAGAGATTGATCACCATCGAATGCTCTATCGTTCTTTCACCCTTTTTTAACTATTCGAAGAAACAACGAGAATAGATATACTGAGGTGTTGTGATAGACTAATAAAACTAAACAGAAGACAATATGGTTAGAACTCACTTCTTTAGCTCTGAATAATACGCAGGGAAGTTACACGAGGGGCATAACCCGAAATCGGAATCCACTATATGCCGGCCCTAGAATGTTTCTTTCTTTAGATTTGAGAAAAAAAAGAAGCGATATTTATTAAAAACAAGCAAGTATTGTTATTCCTTCTTCTTCTTCTTCAATATTAAAAATGAATTCTAAAACCTACCGTTACAATGCAATACGGTACTGTTGATTTGCAATTTTCACAAGATAGCTCAGTTTCTGGTACTTGATACCCGCAATATGGGCAAGGGGATCGTGTTTCCTGCGGATCCTCAAATTTTTCGACCTTTCTAAAACTTGTCTCTTCGTTATAAAAAATTCTCCTAGGATTTAGCGAGGATTTCGTGAGCTTACAAAGTAAATTTCTCTAGAATGACTACCGTGGACAAATCAATATCGTAGGGTTGATTACTTTCTAAACAACTCAACTGACAAAGGCCTCTATTTTTTTTTTGTATTTAGCGTGTATTTTCTGACGATATTCGGGTTGCATCAGAGTAATAGCGGCACGGTGAGCAGCTGCTTTAAGACCTGCCTTGGAACAAATTACTACGGTTGACGTAAGAATGGGAACCACGTCTGAAATGATTAAGTCAGATCTGTTAGTTAGCAATGTTATAGGACTCAAGAAGTAAACGAAAGTAACTTATAAACTACGAAGTAAATAGTTTATTATTTACGAAAGAAAAGAACTGGTTAACTCACGAGCAGGGAATTTACTTATGTTGGCGGAAGTTCGAATCAACATCCTGGCTGCCCTCAATGTTTCGTTTCTTCGTAATAAGTTCTAAAAGAAATGCTGCAACAAAGCTGCATTTAGTAGGTGCATCGAGCAACTAACGGATATTTCGCGAACTGACTTCCTGTGCGTTCACCTTACATTGCTACAATGTTAGATGTGTTTGTTGTGTTTAGCAAGATAAGCCAAATGGTTCCCTCAAGTACGGTCGAAATGAAGGTTACAAGGACGCTTTCGTTACAGAGCTTATTAGACAAAGGCCAATTAGTCAATTTTCAATCTCATGGAAAACATTATGTAAAATATCAATGGTGGGAGAAAAATTACAGTCCTTCAGGGTGCAATCAGAGACGAAAACTCAGAGATTCCAAAAATCTTACCTTAACTATGAGATACGAGTGTATAATCATTAGGCTGTTCTGCATAATGTAAGGAACCTTGATTTGTTTCGCTGCTAATTCCTGAAGATAGATTGTGTGACCCTGATAATGTGTTATTCATTGTTCTCAGACCTTACCTGATACATGGCTAGAAGAACATTACGAGCCACAGTATAGGACCCACGTTCTTGCTCCTGACGAGCGATCACTATTGCGGTTGTTGCCGCCTCTTTCGTCATACCAAGAGCAACATATAGTCGAAACAAATACTTAGCATCCTTGAAAAATAAAAGTGGTCCGAACTTTCTTGACGTTAGAATCACGGTAACACTAAGTGGCTATACAGGAACACATAGACTCGATAAGTTACTCATACAAGCACACGCGTATTAGAAGGACGAAGGGAAAAAAAGAAATTAGACATTGCGTGGCTCCAATATGGGTGATCTAGTTTCTGTTTTACACTCTGTTGTCAGAAAACCATCTTCATATCAGTTCATGTCGAAGTTAGTAACCACACGTTTTCGTAACTGAAGTACCCAAAGTACCCATAGCCGATCACAAGTGAGGTCACTTGTTGTGAGTGGAAAACAGGGAGTAGTGTGCGATTCAAAAGAAAGCTTATACTTATTCTGACATGCAGATGGATTTTGCAAATGAACCTATTCTCTTTGCTGGACCGAACTGACTCACACTTTCGCAGACAAATTATTGCGCCGCTGGTCGATTCTACACGGGAATTTGATAGTCTGTGATCAAGTGACATAGAGTGCATGAGAGTGATTCGAAGTCGCTTCCTATAAATGAGCTCCATAACCCCCTTATTCTCTTGAACTCGAAAAAGTCCTCAATACAGGAACGTTATAGTGGGATGAGGAAGAGCCTAGAAAACCTTAGGAGTCATTACAGACTATGTACATCTAGAATATGGAAACGCCCTTTACATCACATCATCAACAGAGTCATAGGCGAAATCTAAGGCAATATTGGCCCTAGGAAACCTCCGAAAAACTTTAATTACGAACGAAAGCAATGTAATTGTACGAAGTTGGTGGATGTTTAACTAAGTCTATCACGACAATCAAAACCATCGCAATTCAAGAGGCCATGATAAGTTGACCAACATGAGAGCAGAAAAAGAGCAGAAAAAGCTTCTCTATCTACAGGTACAAAAAATGTTAACCAGCTTCATATGTTATGTATGCAACGATTGAGACGCCTCGTTATTTAAGAAGGTGATACCAATGAGAACGTTCTGAGAAAGTTGGAATGGGATAAAATGGAAGTGATGGCTGATAGTCAGAAACTATGCCAACTTTGCCTTGCTAATGACATCACCCTTATAACACCCAAGCAAGAAACAAGTGAGGAAAATGTTTGATGAACCTAAGAAAACGACGCTAGTAAGAAACAGAATTATTTCTAATTCTTCCGAATTTTCGAATTCATTCAAGATCAAAAAAAGAGAATACTGGAAAATGCGCTGATAATTTTCGAAACTCAGATTGGTGAACGGTTGAAGTACAGAGTTATGAGGACAAAGATGACGCTTTCGGATGCTTATAAAAGCGAAGAATTTGTAGTGGAGGACAAAAAAAGGGCACGACTACGTCTCAACTCTTTGATTTCGTGACTCCTTCTGCTCACCTCGGCTCTGAAAATTTTGCGCGTTACATAACAAAGGTGAGGAAACCTGGCAGCAGTAGTCAGTGCTTCACCGAGAAGATGATATCAGGAGCACCACGTCTGGCGTAAGTGAGAGAGAGAATCCAAAATTTCGGTCTAAGACTCTGTTAAAGGTTAGAGGTGGTAACGCGTACCGCAATAAGCTAGAAATAAACTACGGCAAACAATGACAATCTGCGAAGAACCGCCGAACTGCCGTTCGAGACTTTTTAACACGAGTGGTAGAAAACATAGCGTGCTCTTCTGAACGCCACATAAATGGTTAAATTTTTTTTTCAAGATCCCTATAAAGAAAAAGGTGATGTTGTTTGATTCTCTACAGTGAGAGCTTGAAGATAAACGAGAACGAAGGTGGTGCAGACGGAGGGTTATAAAGATTCTAAATGAATCTAATCGATCAAAGTTCACAAAACTCTTTTATCCCATAAGTTTGAAAAACGGAACTGAAAAGTTTGGGTGATGAATGACACACGATCTGCAATACAGAGTTGAAATTCTCTATTTATGTCTTCCTATGTTGTTTCCATAACAACCGAAATAATTCAAAGTGACAAAAAAGTGGAAAGATCGATCTGGGTGGTCCTTCACAAAAATTCAAGACACGATCTTATTCCAGCCTTTCTTACCTTTGGTACGTCATCAATCTCGCCCATGAGATATTGGGTAAATTTTGCTGTAAGCTTGCTATCGCCAGCAGCTGCTACACAATCGATGGCAAGCAGAAGTGAATCGTGATTTTCACCGCACAACATCAAATGTTCGAGTGCCTGAAAGAGTACAAATAAAAGTACTACACGAAGAATGTCCACTTTAGGTGCGATTTCAATAAAATTTGTGTATTTATATATGAAAGTCCAATAAATTCCGTGCACTCTGTGATGCGGTAAATGACCTAAATTTTCATCAATAGGTTCACACCCCTAATCTAGAGTAGGAACGAGCACAAAACTCTGTAATAAGCTAAGCGGATGTGCTAGAATCACTCAGTGCTTAAAGATGCATTTCAACAGTACACGCGTAAATGTTGGTTTTTACCGCTGGACAAACAATGCTTTCTATCCCCTCTAGGGCATTCAGACTACTACAACAGCTTGCCGAGAAAAGCTTCCCTCAATCCACAATGAGCTGCGAATGTTTCTGTTGTGAACATCTTGCAAAGCAGAGCTATATTTGGATCCTAAAAAAAAAGTGAAAAGGCTAAGCAAACAACGACATTCATGAAGAAGACGAAATCCTCTAATGCGAGCCGAACCCAAACGCGAAATCCGATAATCTTCGCGGCTGACAGACACCAGACAATGAATGGAATTAAAAAGTACTGTCTCCAGAACACGCAAAATTGGGCCACTTGGACGCGTCAATGCGCCATCCTCAGTGAATGAGCAGCACCAAGAACAATTTCTTTTCACGCCCTCTCGCGCAATCGTTGTCCATGGTGGTGGTCTGCTTCAACCATAGTAACGTCCGCGAGGCTCATTCACAATTCCTAAAATCGGTTCTATTTGCGAATTCAAGTGGTTGACGTTGGCCACGGAAACGTCTGCCCATCGTTTGGGTAGTTTTCCAAACGAACGCTTACACTCTGGTGGAGTCCACACCACTGTTCCTTTCGACCATCATCTGTTCTTCTAATTATATGAGTGGCCATCTGTGTTTCGTTATTAGTGCACATCCTCCTAGATCCCGAAGATGGAATAGTTTCCAAAGATCTAAGCTGCGCATTCCGGCTAGACGTTGTGGGTTCAGATAAATTTTAGAAGATATCAAACATTCTGTGGGCGGAGTTCAGCCTTCCTGACGCTTTTAAGTATCAGCTATTTTGCTCCATGAACCACATCCAAACCGTATCGGGGGCCATAGAAGTTTGACGGGAATATCATCTGTGTTCTAACATTTGTCGACTACAAAAAAGCATTCGACAGCGTCGAAACGAGTGCGATCCTATAAGCGCTCCTCGAGCAAGCGGTGGATCTGTACCTTATACGAACACTAACACGCTGTTATAGAAGCTCCAACACCACAAATATTCAGCTTTTTCATCGACCGCTTGCGATACCCATAGGAAAAGAGCTTTGACAAAAAGGCACAATATCGCCAAGGCTGTTTACTGCCGCACTTCATTGGATAATGAAGCCGTTCGATTGGGAAGTGAGTGGTGTACATATTGACGGACACTTTCTATCAAATTTTCGTTTCGTGGTTGATCTTTTCGAGGAGTACTAATGAAGCAAAACTGATAACCAACTCAATGAAGCGGGAGAAAGGTTTGACATGCGCTGAATAGAACGAAAGCCTATTTCATGAAGAACCCATGAAGCGAAAGTGAACGAATTGAAATGGATAGTTCTTTGATTACGGAGAGCAGCTGGCACGTCTACCTTGGACGGTTCAGTGGACATGGAGAACAACTGATGGAGGAATTAGGCAGAAGAAGGAAAGCAGCATAGCCTGCATCCGGGTCACTCAAAGAAGCCGCTGACCAATTAACAGACAACGCTTATTTTTTCGATTCAGTAGTCCTCCCACCGTTTTTTTATGCAGCAGAAAAGTAAGCAGCTAAGAGTAAACTAATACCAGGATCCACCACCGTCATAGTATCAAAGTCGCATGGTGGTAAATCTCCCTCTGATCCACAGGGGCCTGCCGTAGTGACGACCTGGGGCAGACTTTGGCGGCTTAACCAGGAAATCTCCGAAAAATGGTGGTTATGCTGGGGCTCGCACAACTGGTGATGACGGGCCGTTTAAGTATCAAGTAAGTTACTGCTTTTCGTCTCAATGATCAAATGGAACCTCAAGCGCCCATCCACCTCAGAAAGTGAGCAAAAGTTGGCGTCTGAAGAGACTGTTCTGGCGTCACCGGTGCAAATACAAAAGCCGTCTTCATGGCGTTTCGCGGACGTGCTCAATTCGCCCGTTTCTAATGACGACCTCTACAAACAGATTAGATCGCCTTCCACCGGTTGTTTCACCACCGCATGTCGAAGCGACCAGTGTACGACTTACTGTGATCGGAGCTTTGCTTGTTTAGCCAGTTTAGGTCTCTGGAGTCCCGAGGTCAGTTCAGCCGAAGTCTTCCTTAGATCGTCGCCACTCTAAGAATTCTCCGCCTTTGTGGATAAGATGGAGATATGCCACCATGTGACTGGTTCGATACCGGGACTATGATGATTCCTGGTGCTGGTTAACTCTCAGGTGCGCTTCCGGATGGAAACGTCGGACTCCTTCTCATCTTGAGAACCTCTGCTAGGGATTTAACCACTCGCTGTAGATCACAACCCGATACCTAGGAACACCTAACAGCGATGATGAGGTGAGGCGGTAAACCGTGGGAAAGGTTCACATAGACAGAAAATATAAAATGAACAAGTTGAACAATTACACATTCGAATAAATATATTTTCCAGCATCACCCAAAAATAGTGCGACGACGTTCATATTATATTTCATATTTCATTCACCACTAGAAAATGGCCAACATTATCATCGTAAGCTAGAGGTTCATTAAAAATTCAAGCATTTCATCAACTCAACAAGGTCTTACAGAATTGAGGTAAGCGCTAACTACGCTATTCCTCAGACTCCAAGCTTTACAAATGGTTTAACTATCGATGAAGTGGCTTTAGTGCCTCATGTTCCCATTAACGAGATCGGTCGGTGAGAGAATCGGTGAGAGCCGACCAAATTTCTAGTTGCACAGGAAGTAGCTGCTACCAACCAAAACGAAACCGCGTACGGTGTGCAGTGGAGAACGCTTCTTGCTCTGCACCTATAACACCAGAATAGTCCACTCAGAAGCCGACCTTTACGCTCTTCTTGAGGCTACTGGTTGCTTCAAATTCTTTGTGATCATCCTCTAAAAATGGAAAGCAAGAAGACTGATATGTGGCAATTAGATGACGCGATCTATTTGTAGAAGGAAAATTCCATCACGAAATGCCAGCACCGTTGGCTTTGCCAAGCACTCATCTCTAATCCACCATGTTACTTCGTACCGCATTTTACCATTTCGCTTGGTTACTATTTCACTTGGTCACTCCTTGTCTTTAACCCACGATTCAAAAAATGTTAGTACCATTTAATACTACTCGTCACTTCCATGATAAGTTGGAGAAAGCTATTCGCAACGAAAAAACGGTCTATAAGTTGGTTCGAATTTGATAACGGAGAAACACTGTACCAATTTTTCCCATTACAAAATTACTGTCCCAACACCTAAATTTTCGCTGAAGAAAAACGGCTTGGCATTTCTTCTTCTTCAGTTTGGATATAAAATGTAAAGAGAGGCACATCTCCAAAGCCCGAAAAAATAAAAACCTACTTGTTTTTTTGAGTTGGAAGCTATAAACTACAGGTACTTTTCGTTATCCATGTGACAACCTTTTTCACAAAAAAGATCTCAGAGCAGCGGACGACCTTGAACACGTTCATCCTGCCCAGGCAACGTGACCAAGGGAGTCGTCTTAAATAGCACTCAATGATTTTTGAGTGCGTTCTATAAACTCTACAAAAAGACAGTTCTTTTCAACTTATCAAAAACTGTAAATGAGGCACAACGAGTTCAGCAAGCACGATGCCGACATGCAATCTACTGCCCAATTGGTTGTACTCGCTCGGGTCACAAGTAAGCCACGTCCAGGACCATGGAAGTCCGTAAGTAAGTCCAAGTAGAAAAACATCTTAACTCATTACCTCTCCTCTCACCCCTCACACGAAAAGGACACTTGTGAGAAACACGTTTCGAACAGCTACCAGCGTATGCACAGGAAGACAGCGGGGAGAGGAGTGCCGGAACTTGCTGCGGCAAATAGTCATTTTTAATGGCTACGAAAATGTAGCTCGTGATAGGTGTGGAGGAAGCCACAGGTACCCCAACGATAACTCTAGCGACAATTGTTCATACTGCCCTTCATTTTAAATAAAGCAAGTGCAGCTATAAAACGCTGTTTAAGAAGGACCGGTCTAGTGAATTCGGTAACGATAATTGAAATGCTAACGAGTAATCTAAGAAAAATGGAAGATTTACTGGCGCCCGGTCGTGTCAGTCGATGATCAACGAGACTCCTGGTGACAGGTGATAACACACTGCTTAAAAAGGGCCAGTCAAGAGAGTCCGTTTAGAATAATCGAAATACCACCGAGCACTCCAAAAAGCCAACTAGTTCGCAACCGCCTATACGACCGTCTATGTGCAACGCAAAATTGCATAATTTGCCTCAATCGTAGAGACGGTGGCTGCACGAGTTCGGGTACATTCTATCTGATCTCCTGTAAAGCGTTCGAGGACGAATACTTTCGTGAACACTCTGCGTGCGTATAAAAAAACACCTAGTCGGCAAACGTAAATCAAATACCCCGCTAGGCACGCATAGGACCCAGAGACATAACGGAGAAGATTTTGAAGTAGAAATTACGGTCCTCGAGCAAGAATCGAGAACACAAGCGCGCAAAATTCTAGAGGCACCCTGGATTAATTCTAAGAATCCGAAAATGAACGGCAGGGAGGAATGCTTTATTATCACGCGTGGTACTGGGCAGTATATAAACCTCTTATTGTTATTTTCATGAGATGGACACAATACGCTTCCGTGTGAACTCTGTGCGGTTGGTCTCTACGTGACATATTTAGTGGAAGACTCATAGAAAGCGGTGAGTGTGCAAAGACTCTGTGTTCAATGTGATTGAAATTTTGGTTCAGCATTTTCTCTGTTTGGTTATGTAGGTATTTGGCAGCGTAGATTGTAGTCAACTTGACCTTTCCAGGCTCTGAAAAAGGCGAAATCCGCCAAAACGTCAGCTTGTACTTGAATAAAAAAATAAAAAAACACCTCGTATTTGCTGAACAGAGGTAGAAAGAATTGTTCAATCAGTGCCGAAGTTAATAGAAAGTCGGACGTGGGAGTTACAGAAGTCTGCGTTGAGAGTACCACCGCCTGTCTACAGAATCATAACGAATTCAACGCTGAGAGCCCTCGTAGATGAAGGAAGAGATAGATTCCTTATAACAACTCTAGGAGACTACTGTTATAACTCGTATATAATAGTGAGATATTTGCAAAACTCCGGACTGCAGGTGTATGCGGTGGGGAACGAACGCGCTATTATCCTTTCAGGGGAGTAACGCGTTCACCACCACACCATGCGGGTCCTTCGTTTTGCCTGTCTCTCAGCTATTTCTATCGGGTGATTGCTGTGGCAAAGATTAAAAAAGTATACGCGAAATTATAGTAGGCAGAAAATAAAAAGGTATAACATTGTGATTTCAACTACAGCCGCAGCTTAACAGGGTTCTATGACGATTTGGGAGCCCCAGATCAATCCCGCTGACGGGTGATTGCTGTGGCAAAGATCGATAGAAATAGCTGAGAGACAGGCGAAACGAAGGACTCGCATGGTGTGGTGGTGAACGCGTCACTCCCCTGAAAGGACAATAGCGCGTTCGTTCCCCACCATAGACACCTGCGGTCCAGACTACTGTTATAGTTAATTCAGTGTGAAAATACTCCTTTTCCATCAACTCTTTAACATACCCATTAAAAACGGAGTTTGACGAGGATATCACCAAAGCTATTAAATACCTCACTGCAGTGGATAATAAAGCCATTCGACTAGGTGGAGGAAGGCATACGAGGGCAAACTTTCGTTTTCAAATACGAGAAGCAGTTACAATGCTCAATGAGCTCAATGAGTCATTTACTTGGATACTTTGACGGCCCGTCTTTATTCTTTGTACGTGCCCTAGCGTAATCTCCATTTTTTAGATCTTTGCTTGTTTAGCCATTGTGTTTCTCTGAAGTCCAGAGGTCAGCATAACCAAAATCTGCCCCAGGTCCCCACCACAACAGGCAGTCGCACCCTATGTGTATCAGAGGGAGATTTGCCACCCTGCTTTAGATACCAAGGCGGTATTCGATCCTTCCACTCTTAACTAGACTTCCTGATGGAAAAGCCGGATTCTTTCTCAACTTGGAGGATCCTGTCGGGGAAACAAATCTCCCGCTGCACATCGTAGCCCGACCCATAGGGAACACCACTCAGCACAATGAGGCGGTAAACCGTTGGGAGGGAGCTCAATAACAGAAGGAAAAAACCGTATAACTGCACTTAATTGGGAAGAAAACTGCCAGTTAATGTAAAAGGCATGTTGCAAAAGTGAATAAGTCGAAATGAGTAGTTTCTAAGACTTACAGAGACTACCTCGCACATGTACTTTGGGTGATCAGTAAGCATAAAGAGCAACCTGAAGAATGAAATATAGAAGAATGAGAGCGAAATCGGCGGTGTTCCTCAATTCGAAGGAGTAGCCACCAATCGACGGACTCAATTCTCCCCATTAATCTCTTCGATTCAGCGGTCCTCCAAGAGCTCTATTATGTATTAGGGACGTGGGTTCCTTTCTCATCCACGAAAATTTTGGGCCACAGGTGCGAGTCGCTTAAACAACACTGCCTTCTGAAGTATAAACAAGGCGTACAACGTCTACCCAGAAAGAGCAGGTCAAATTTTCGAAACCTATCTCATCTTCGGGATCCATGGAGAATGTACATCAACAAGAGCAGCATCTTCTCAGCTGACTACGTAAATAATGGCTCACGTGTTTAGACCCTTCCTCAACCATCCACATTCACGAAAATGGTGTACCGATCACAAAGTACGCCTTGTTACAATGTTCGAAGCAGACTGGGGTTCGTTCTATTCATGAGGACCGGTCATGCGATTATCCACGTACTCACTATGATTACTTCAGAAATGTTATTTTAACTTCAGCGTTTAAAAGAATTTATCGACAAATTCACCGCATGATAATGTCCTGCTCTGAGATAGAATCGCCCAGCATTGTGTGCATCACCAGAGCTCGAAAAATATCCTGCTAAGTTAGCGAACTGCTCCTGTGTAGCACCGTCATTTTCCACCGAATCAGCATAGTCAATCATGTGATCTGTAGTTTCAGCGAGTTGGAATGCTTCCTAAAAAATAGAGGATAATCTGAGGAACAAGCGTGTTTTCTTTACTTCTATTTAAGAAACTATGAAGCCATTTATGACGCTTACTTGATGGCAGTTACTAAGCACCAAAAAACGAATCGCAGACGCATGATCGCCCAAACGGGAAAAAAACCTAAATTTAAACAGTCAAGTGCCCGATTACTTTAAATATTCAACTTATGTGTTCCGTATTTCATTTAAAGGGCAGTGACATTTGTACATGGTAGCTATTGACTTGTGCCTTTTAAATTAAACTACTCCCTTTGCATTCATAGATAAGAAACGGAATCATCCAGTTGTCACGATTAACACTTTAACGCTCACAAACTGAGTACACCGAAGATATATATAACATGGAAAAGAGTTCGAAAGCTTTATATACGACTTACTTGGCAACTAACTTTGCCCCTTCTACACTTCGGCTTTCACGAACAACTTTGACTGCCTCTTCAGCCATGTTTAAGTGATCTAACAGTATGCGAACGAGATTGTCATAGTCACGAGCGTTTCGGTACGCCTAAAAGAAACCATTCTGAAAATTCCGTATTGATACTAGAGAATGAATCCTAGAACAAGGAGTTTTTTTCCACCAACCCAACTCCAAAAGCCAAACAATAACAAAAAAATATAAGCCACAAGTAGAACATACTGTGGCCTTTCCGCACTTGCTACAAAAATGCTAGATAAGTCTACTTTAGGCAACAGCCAAAATTTTGATGTCACTGACAATGGCCGCTTCTTTGTACCGTTTCTCAGCTTCCATGACTTTTCCATATTGTGCATGTATTTTGGGTGATCGCACTTTTGGTAGAAGCTCGCTAACTTTTCCCCTTAAAAGCCAATTTAAAAACTCCAAAAAATCAATAAAACGTGGAAATGCCAAGTTATAAAGTTAGGTTACCATGCTTTCGCCTTTAGACACACTGCTGCCGCTCGGTCGTAGAATTGACCAAGTTCATAGAGATCTGCAGCTTCGCCGTACTGCTGGAAATGTAAGACAATAGGTTTGCACTGAAACCCTCATTATGATGGTAAGAAGACGAATTTACCTTCAACTGCTCAAGAATAAGCGCGCAATCGCGCTTCACGGCCCGGCCATGCAAATCGCGAGCTAACCGAATACCTCTGCAATATTTCTGTCATCGACATCTACCATCAAATATAAAGACCCTAGAACTTATTTATTACTTTTTATAAAAAGGATTAAAAAGAGTCCGGCATATTGGTGTCAGACAAATCTGATACCAGCAAAGCCTGGGAACTCTCGGGTAGAGCTGCCGTAGGGTTCAAGAAAGAATTTAAGAGAGTATTCAGTAATATTCATAGAGTAGACGACAAGATCCTCAAGTTGCAGACAAATTCACACTAAAATATGAAGCCCTTCTCGATGGCGATTGTGAACGGAATGGGACAAATGCTGGCATCCGCCACCAAGAAAACACAGGTTTTACAAAGAAATGGTAAGAAAAAACAAAGAAAAAAATAGAACACCACAACAGTGAAATAGATTTCAAAAATAGTTCAAAATAATAAAACTGCTCTATGGTGGAGAACGAACGTGCCATTGTCCTTTCCGGAGAGTAACGCGTTCACCACCACACCATGCGGGTCCTTCGTCTTGCCTGTCTCTCAGCTAGTTTTGTCGATTAGCGCCATCAGCAATCACCCGTTACTCCCCAGAAAGGACAACAGCGCGTTCGTTCGCCACCATAGACACCTGCGGTTCTGTGTTTTGCAAATATCTCAGCAACATTGTAGTTGTAGTTCGCTTACTACGCTACCGTGAAAAATTGTAGTAGGCAAGAAATAAAAGGTAAATCAAAAATTGCTCCAATTTTATCGTTATAACAAAAAGATGTGGGTAGAGAGCACAGAATTAGTAATGAATATCTGTACGCGCAACTCCCTGGTTCAACTCAGCACCCGGCCAACGAAGTTCTTCATCTTTTCGGAGTCAAGCAATTGGTCCCAAACTTGTCTGCGGTCAACTCGCTCCCTGCAACTCTCAAAATATAATGTTGAAAGGGACGCCCTGGAGATGTCGTCCCAAGATTCGAGGTAGGATAAAGTCGATCAGATATCAATGAAAGTTATAAAACAAGACCTAAAACCCTAAGGTGGCAGCCAAATTCACATGAAAATCTGAAGACTTTCCTGAAATATGGGTGATCGAATTCAAGTGCTGGCATTCGTACAATATGCGATCTCGCATCGTTTAAAAAAGCAAAAAGCTAATAAAAGGTAAAATAAATAAAGGATTAAGTTTTCGGCGTTGATCAATCTTGAGGGATGCGCCATCCATTCGACTTCATTAAGCATCGTCGGAGGTGATTGAATTCACATCTGGCTCTTACAATGACTCGAGGTGGCCTACCGATGTATCGAGCCAGTGATGTTGTCTTTTCAGACAAGTCTGGTACCAATTTACCGACTCCAGAGGGATGGAAGGCCTGGTAAGCCTTGGGCGCAGATCGATCCCGTGTGTACTACAGGACGCCTCCGATCACTGCTCCACACTTTTCCTCTAATAATAGAACAACACAAAATACTTGTCCGCTGCCAACAATGGTAGACATTAAATGTATATCTCGTGTATATTTTTTATTCTTTATTTTATTTGACCCTTCTTCACGTCTACTGTGCGGATCCCAGCACTTGTCACATCTAATACGTCTCCTCGCAGCGATCAACCACGAAGAACTTGCATCTTTACGTGTGACTTCGGTCGCTGCTTGAGTATTTTCGTTTTATCTTGAATGTCGTAGAATGCTGGTCGAGAAATTCTCCCTAGATTCCTGAGATAGCCGGAATGGCGCGTTCCCAATTCGATTGCAGAGAGTGTGTTTGTCTTAGACAAGTTCGGTACCAATTTCCCGACCCTGGAGGAACGAGGGGCTTGGTTGGCCAAGAGCAGAATCGAACTGGCACCATGCTCGTGATAGCGGGTACCACTACTACTGTGCTGCGCATCCCTGTCTCATATATGTATATGTATATATATATATATATATATATATATATATATATATATATATATATATAT